GGTGGGTGGGCGGTTTAGTCCGGGAGGCCATGGCGGAGTGGGCAGTCCAGGAGGCCATGGCGGGGTAGGGGACTCAGGAGGCCATGGTGGAACAGGCAGTCCAGGAGGTCATGGCTGATCAGGCAGTCCAGGAGGTCATGGCGGAGCAGGGGACCCAGGAGGCCATGGCGGAGCAGGGGACTCAGGAGGCCATGGCGGATCAGGCAGTCCAGGAGGCCATGGTGGATCAGGGGACTCAGGAGGCCAAGGTGGAGCAGGCAGTCCAGGAGGCCATGGCGGATCAGGGGACTCAGGAGGCCATGGCGGAGCAGGCAGTCCAGGAGGCCATGGCGGATCAAGGGACTCAGGAGGCCATGGTGGATCCTCCTAAACCTCGGATCCCCCCCAAAAAAAATTTCTTGGGGAAACTTAGGAATTCTGGGAGGTGCTCTGAAGGAGCAGAGGAGCGGCACTGGTGGAGTGCGCACTGGCTAGCACAGGGGGCTCAGGAGATGAAGGAGGGCTGGACGGGACCAGCAGAGGCAAAGGAGACGAAGGAGAGTTTTCTGGAGCGGACTCAGGCGAGAGGATAGGAGCCGAGAACTCTGGGGGTAGCGCCATGTCCAGGAGTGCTGAGAGGTACGCTGGAGTGGACTCTAGAGGGAGTGCTGGTGCCTCTTTTTCTCGGCTGAAGGCTGGAATGGATCTTGGACTGGCTCGGGAACGCAGGGGTGGAACGGAGGAAGCAGGCTCATTGGAGCGGTATGTGGAGGGTGAACTAATCAAGCAACAAAGGAAAACTAGGTCAAGGCAGGGAGAACAGAAACACAGAACATACACGTGACAAGATCATGTTCCATGAAGATATTTTGTAAATCTCCTACCATAAATATATCAAAACTTAATGTTTGATTAGTAATATGCATTGCTAAGAACTTCATCTGAACAACTTTAAAGATGATTTTCTCAATATTTAGATTTTTGTGCACCCTCAGATTCCAGATTTTCAAATAGTTGTATCTCGACCAAATATTGTGCTATCCTAACAAACCATACATCAATGGAAAGATTATTTATTCAGCTTTCAGACGGATGTATACATCTCAATTAAAAAAACTTTACTCTTTTGACTGGTTTTGTGCTCCAAGGTCACATTTGTATCTTTAAATATTTGATATCTCTGTTGTTTGTCTACAGACACTTCGGTCAGTGTGTTTTCTGTTTAATGATGTTTGTTTGCGTCTCTCTTTCTTGTGTGTTCATCAGGAGTATCAGTGTGAATAGTTTGGATCTGGAACAGGAAGTGGATCCTCTGAACGTTGATCATTTTTCCTGCACACCGCTGGTAGGGTTAAAAACTTGTAAAAGCATGTTTCTGAAAGAGGTCTCTTCTGCTCACCAAGGCTGCATTAATTTGATCAAAAATATGAGAAAAACTGTAAAAATTGTGAAATATTATGCAATTTCAAATATCTGTGAATATCTGTTAAACTGTAATGTATTTCTGTGATGCGCAGCTGTATTTTTAGCATCATTCCTCCAGTCTTCAGCGTCACATGATCTTCAGAAATCAGTATAATATGCTGATCTGCTGCGTCATGTTTTCATGGTTCTGACCCGTGTGTGTGTGTGTGTGTGTCTGTCTGTGTGTGTGTGTCTGTCTGTGTGTGTGTGTCTGTGTGTGTGTGTGTCTGTGTGTCTGTGTGTGTGTCTGTGTGTGTGTCTGTGTGTGTGTCTGTGTGTGTGTCTTGTGTGTGTGTGTGAGAGTGTGTGTGTGTCTGTGTGAGTGTGTGTGTCTGTGTGTCTGTCTGTGTGTCTGTGTGAGTGTGTCTGTCTGTGTGTCTGTGTGAGTGTGTGTGTGTGTGTCTGTGTGTGTGTGTGTGTGTGTGTGTGTGTGTGTGTGTTCAGATGTGGGCGTGTGCTCTGGGGCATCAGGCCGCGGCTGTGTTGTTGTACCGCTGGAGCAGCGCGGCTCTGGGAATCCCGGACTCTCTGGGTCGTCTGCCTCTGGCTGTGGCACACTCCCGTGGACACACACGTCTAGCGCGCTGTCTGGAGGAGTTACACACACACTCTCAGACGCAGGAACACACACCGGACACACCCTCACCTCCGTACCGACCCCTGTCTCCACTGTCCTGCAGCCCTGACACGGGTAACAACACACACACCAGGCCCCTGTGAAATCCCTTTTATTTTCTCTGTGCTTCTGTGTTAACTTTTCTAAATTCTTTTTTTTATAAAACGGTTATTCCATATACGTAGTAAGGTTCCACAGCAAATAAAGTGTAATGATATTAATAAAAACAGCACATGGCTCAGCCAATCAGAATCAAGGACCGGAACTATCCGCTTTATAATACAATTTTAACAATAAGAAGGCCCTATTAAATGACTTAGATGCTTCTTAAATTCTGTGCTTTTATTACTGTTATTATTACTATAATAGAGCTTTAGTGACTAATACTAACCCTGCTCTCTCTCGCTCTCTCTCTCTCTCTCTCTCTCTCTCTCTCTCTCA